TATTAAATCTCAACACCTGGGCACTGTACACTAAACCAGAAATAGGAAAGTTCCTCAGAATATTGTTTTAATAATTACCTTATTTAATTATTTACATATTTGAATTAGAATTCAGTAATAGCCAGATGAAACCTTAATAAAATGTATTAAATGTGGAATTTTATCTTCAGAATATGGTTCACCTGACTTCTGGCTTTCTTCCTAAATATAGCCTAAATACTTCTCAGTCTTTCTGTTTATATAATTGGTATATTTTAGATTCAGATCTCAAAAGCCTTCAGTTATCAAATACATACAAGTACAGAAAACGACAAGCATCTGTAAGGCAGATTTGGTCTGTGGCTCCTTCTCTCAGTCCCTCCCAGTTTATTTTTCAATGTGCTCTTGGTCCCTTGGTCATGGCACTCCAAATCTAACAGGATGCTCTGCCTAGCTGTCCTCCAGTTGTCCCCCTCCCCAGCACTTTTCCCACTAGCACGTGCAAGTCAGAATGCATCTAACTAATGTCCTCGACAAAGGCACTTGCTCCTCTGAGCTTCTCTGTCTGGGCCATCAGTAAGTCCCATCTATGCTACCTGGCCCTGTTCTTTAACCCACTATATCTCTGTAGCGCCAATATTTCAATCCAGGCTTTGAACATCATTCCTGTAGACAGATTTTTGCTAATTCTAATTTCTCCCAGTTCTCTGACACATGGTTAACAGACTTTTTCTAAAATTAAAAAAAAACCTTTAAATTATAGCATTCTATATTTTTTTAAAAAAAAAATCAAATACTTGCTGTAGCCTATTAAAGTTAACCATCCAAGACCTAGGCCTTCAGGCTGTTCCACAATCTGGTTTCCTGTTACCTCATTGATCTTGTATTCTGTTTTCATTGATCCTTACAAAATTTATTGACTGTCTATTCTGGGTTGACACTGCACACAAGTTTGCCAACCATGTGCAGCATAACATTCCCTTATTGAGTGCCTTGTGTTTCCTGGAAATTCTCTCAAGACATTTCAGAGAGTTGTTTTCTAAGTCCTCAGAAGATCCCCTCAAAGGCCAGAATTCATAGAACCATTTCTCTTTTGTAGATGAAGGAGGTGGCCTGGTAGAACCAACTGGCATCTCAAGCCTCCTACTGGTCAATTGTATTTCATGTATCTCATGGACTTTTGCCTACTCATTCATGCCGGTGCATTTCTGATCCCTGTGATACAGCTCCATTTTTGTCTCTGTGCATGGTTCCATCCAACCATGTGGATGCTCATGTGAGATGAAACCGTCTCTAACTCTCCCACTCACTGTGGTCATCCTTCTTTCCAGCTCACAGAACTTATCACACATATCCTTCGTTTTGCAACCACACATGATTTTTGAGGTCCGTTTTGCTACATCATTCAACTTAGTTGAATGTTTTCAATGCATTCTTTCCTCAAACATATTGAAAGTACATAGTATATTCTGCATATCATAATATACCTAGTACACAAATTGTATACAGAGAATGTCTTTGCAAGCACCTTGTGCCTTTGGCAGAGCCTCCAAAGAGAAATCTCTTCCAACAATAGTTGATTATGTCTAGGCACAAAAATTTCACTAATGATGCCTTTTTTATGTCATGTTTTTGTTTAACAAATCTTTCCTCCTCTCCTCCTCGGACCTGGTCAACATTTATTGAGCCCTGTAAAACTTAACATATCTGTCACATGTCCAAAAAGGGTCATGCAACACCCACACACAGTCAAGTTTAGGAATCTAACTTCTGTGTTCCCATAACATTTGATAAATCCTTCTGTGTCACAATACTTCAAAGGATTAGATTCTTCTGTCTGTTTTTATAACTTTAGATCACATTATCCTTAGGGAAAAGGACTTTGTGTTCTTAGCGCTTAGCACAATGCTGGCGTATGGAAAGTGACTCATGAATATTGACAAGAGAATGAATGAATGGGTGAGTGAATAAATGCAAGCAAACAAAGCAATTCCGCTATGTTTCTAACAGCCCACATTAAGGGAAGTAAGATACCGAAGGTATCCATGGAAACAGTGTGAAATACAGGGAGCCGATCTCTTACTTACCCAAGTCTTTTTTTATGAGCAGGAATTAGCTAAAAATCATAGTATTTCCTTGCCAGCTCGATTTAATTTTTTTAAGGGAGATGCTGAGGATAGAACTCAAGTCCTCATGTTGCTTTGAGCCTCTAATTTTATCTTAAAGCTGACTGTGGGCTGTAAGTTACCTCCTAGAAAATTACACCCTCCATCTCAGAACATCTGCACTCACTGATGTAACTTTTATCACTGTTGTTGTGCCTGTTGTCACCTGAGCCCCATACCAAGCATGGCTTCTCCTTTGGATCCATCAGGGCAGTTTGCTTCCTTCCAACTCTGCTGCTAGGCTAGCTATAAAAGGTGGCAAATACTTCTCCAATGTTTTCTTCATGAGCTGGATACTTTCCAGTTATAATTGACAGGGGTGGGGAGGTGATGATTCTAGATGATTCTTCCAAGCACAAAGTATGATTGTCTCATTTAATGTACTTACTGTGCTGACAGCTCTGGCCCACTCTACCTTCCATGCCACTTGGGGCCTGTCCATTGTTCTCCAGTGTATGATTAGCAGATTAGCTATCATGTAGGAAGCCAGGAAAATGAACTCCCAGTCAGCCCTTCCAAAGCAAGAATAATTCATTACCCAGCCTGATTTCCACTTAAAATGTACTTTACGTACACTTCCAACTACAACCCCTGAATCACCCTGTGTTCGCAAAGTCCATCATTTTTTATTTTATTGCATGGTGTTGGCGTGACATAATCCCTTGCAGAGAATCTCAGAGTGCTTTACAGATCAATAAATTACTTACCTGTCCGGTAGAAGCAATGTCTGCAAGGCCAGCACAGACACTGCAGGAAGCCTGGGCTCTAAGAAACAAGCAAGGATCTGTGAGTGCCACAAATGGGCAAGGGCTGGGGACCAGAGCTAGATCAAGAGTCCAGCAGGAAGAAACACTAGTTAAATTTCTGTGAGTAAAGTCCAACAAACTTTTTTACTTCTGCAAGAGTTCTGCAAAACTGTAGAACTAAGAGAATTTAGAAATTCCTATGTTGAGGAGTCAGTGAAGGAGAAGCTTAGTCACCAACATATCAATTGCCTTTCCATCCTGAGAGGCACACTCTGACTTAATCATCATCCCCAAATTACAGTGTGAGATCTTAAGTATCCTAGACTGTGGAACAGTGAGTCTCCCACCACACTGTTTTATTTATAGTTTATTTCTATCTTAATATGCAGGGGTGGACACAGAGAGATAGACAGACAGTCTCTCTCTTTCTCTCCCTCTCTCATTTTCTCTGTCTGTTTCCATCCTTACTAGACATTCAATGTGAATTTAAGTCTAAAATTGATCAATATTACTTACTGTATAAAAGTCACTGTTTGCATGAAAAATATAAGATCAAATGATGAAAAGATTCTTCTTTAAGACCTTATATTGAAACAGAAGGGGTAGAAATTCATCAAGATGGGGGCTTCTAGTAGGCACTGTCAGAGAGAAGCATCTGAATACACACAGCAGCAACAAGGGTAGAAGAAAAGGGGACAAAACACAAGCCATGCTTGTAAGTCATGAGTATATTACATGGCAGAGTGCAGGACACGAATGGAAGAAAATGATGGAGAATGGAGGACAAGGAGAAAGGATGGGAGGACATCCTTTCATCATATCCCTTTTTGGAGAGGAAATCGCCCAGTGTGAATATGGGTGCTATAAATATTAGTTGGACTTCTATGGATACCTATATGAGGAAGATATGGTTCAGCCTCAGGCTGTCAGAAAACACATGGTTGATTGAATAGGTGACTCTAAGCAAAAAAGTATAATGTAGTGGATTAAATCCATGATTAGATGCTGAGAGCTCAGTAAAGGAATTGTCACTTTATCTTCTTGAAGTACAGACCATTTGACAAATTAGACAAATGAGTGACCACATGGAGAATCAAATATCATATTGTCTATGGCAAAGCTGACAGTGTAGAAGTAGGTTCAGTTTTAAAGCAAGAACAAGCTTCTGACATATGTCCCAGCATGAGATAGGCCGCATAAACCATTGCTTGGTCAGACTGCTAGGAGATTCTTCTGTGAAACTCAGTGGGAAGAGCCCAGAAGTATCCAGCCTTCAAAGGTAACTCAGAGTCAAAGACTGAAGCCAAGGAAGCAAGAGTCCACCTCAACTTTAGGCATTTGGGAGAATGTCTTGGTTCAAGTCATGTCATATAGAATATATTACATCATATCATATCTCACTGATCTGAGTGTCTAGTCATTTGTGTCTAGTATGTTCTGGAATGTGGTGACTAAGCAGAAATAAATTTGAGTTGGTAATTGGGAACAGGTCGATAGTGAGGTAGATAACAAAGACCTGGGCTTTAGAGGATTATCTACAGAGGATAAAAGGAAGAATATAGACTCTCTATAGTGAACATAAAGAGCGTACTGTGTTGGGAACAAAGCATGGGTGAATGGAGATGCAGGCCACTGAGGATACCTGGGGAAATAAGTTGATGCTTGATTCTGAATGACCTTATATGTTGGCCTAGAGATTCTGGTAACAACAGAGAGAATCCAAGCTACTAGAGTAGAGATATGCTTTATTGAAACTGCATTACATAAAGCCATCTCTGAATTCTATGAGGAGAATGACTCATAGACCTGTGTTGGAGGGGTGTGTGTCGTTGGGGATGCAAGTGGAGACAGAAGGTACAGTTAGAGGAAGAGTTACTGCAGTATTGGAGTAGAGTTGATTCCCTTCCCTACTTTGCTTTTGAATTTGAAATGGAAGCTAAATTCAAGGTAAGATATTCTTTACATTTAAGGTAAGTTTTCTAATTTTTTAAATTGCAAGTATAGTTCATACATGTTCATCTTTCGCTATTCTGTTAGCTTCTATTTTAAGATAGCAAAGAGATTTGTTAGCAGTATTTTTATGGTCCTTCTTCCTGTTTTCTCTCCACAGTATCTCCCAAAATTGTAGAGATTTCTTCAGATATCTCCATTAATGAAGGGAACAACATCAGCCTCACTTGCATAGCCACAGGTAGACCGGAGCCTACAGTAACCTGGAGACATATTTCTCCCAAAGGTAAGATCAGCAGCTCATAAGAGATAACAGGCATCTTGTTTGCCATAGATGGGAATTTGTGGTACTGGCTGCTAAGTCCAAGAGGCTCTGAGGCTCTGGGAGCCTAATAAGTCAATTTGACTTATAACTCTGTAGCTAGAGTTGATGTTCTATGCCCAGTGGCCATAGCTGTTACAATCTCAGAAGGTGTACTTGCATGTCTGTTTGCAATCTTGTGGAGATTAATGCCACTTGAGTCTGGGTGAAATTGTGGTGAGGATTTTCCCTGTGAATGTCTCATATTGAGTGTAATGATAGAAGGGATGCTTTGGTGACATTGTACAGCTGGTATTTGAAGAGATAGGAGATACAAACACATAATGACAGATGAGAGCTCTAAATGCCATATTCTGAACAAGAAATTTCCCTGGTCTGTGCTTCTTCAGCATTGCCAAAAATCTAGTCATTAGCTGTTTTTGTGATTTGCTGTGGTTTTTCTCCTATATTTTGTAGATAACAAATATACCATAATGCATGGCTAAATTACATAATTTATGTTGCCAAAATGTTCAGATGTTATGAAGACCACACTGAGTGATTTGTGCTTTGAACCCTTTAGGATGACAAGATGTTAGTTATCATCAAGGTAGCTTTTATTTGTTATCAAAGAACATAATATTACTTCAATTCTGAATATTTATAAAAATTGCAGTCATCCAAACTGGTCTAAAGCACTATGGAATTAGCCATAACACAAAACTAACAAATTCATGTGCTTGTGAACTCATATTCTCATGAGAGATGATTGTGTAAAAAGTACTGGTTAAGGTTGAGAAAACTGGGTGGTACACATTGATATAATGGCAAGAATTTTTAGTTAAGGAATGATAATAAGGGATCAATGGCACTGTCAACCTCAGTTCTGCTGCTGATTACTGGCTGAAGTGTAATGTATGTATGTAATTGCATATGCATTCATGCATATGTATGTGTGGATTGATCAAGGCATCTCTATTGTTAGGTAAGGCATGGTTAAGGATTTCTAAGGCACCCTAGTGGAAGATATTTGATTTTCAAGCTGTATGCCCCCACAGCAGACTCTGAGGAGAGTGAAAGAAATGTATTAGGGACACCCTTGGGATCATCTTCTATGGAAGGGAAGAGAAGGAAGCAAGATAGTGGTAAATGGAGAAGGTGAGCTGCGACGTAGTCCTCAGAAAGGTTCTAACGGCTGTGTAGGAATTCTGAAGAACAATGGCCTTTCTATTTTTGTCTTCGATTGAGATGACAGAGCTGAACCTTTATATTAACACAGTAGTTTATTGTTGGATTTAGACTGTCCCCAAAAAGGCCATAGCCTACTGGACCAGGCAGACTATATGATTTCACAAGTGGATCCCAAGAAGGGTTCAATAACTACGGTTCGCCTCTTTCCAGCATGTTCTTTACTGGAATCTAAGGCTGCCATTCTTAAAGGTGGTACTACTACCAAAGCTGGATTTTAAAAAAATCAATGTTGGAGTATATAACAAATACAGAATTTCTACTCTGGAAATAACAATGTTCCATAATTGATGGTCTCAGAGGTATGACATGGTCAGTTGTATTTGTCCTGAGCTCTGGGGAGATGTTGGGTCATGATTACTGGCACTACTCCCATAAAGAAAGGAGAGAGAGAGACAGAGACAGAGACAGAGACAGAGACAGACAGACAGACAGACAGACACACACACACACACACACAAACACAGAGAGAGAGAGAGAGAGAGAGAGAGAGAGAGAGAGAGAGAGAGAGAATTAATGTCTTGCATTTTGGCCAGTCTCTCCTTTTGGGATGACCTTCTGTGAAAACTGGCTCAAGTCTGGGAGGATCCTTCAGCTGTGCATGAGATCATTAGTGATGGAGAATGGACCTGGGACACTTATAAGGGCAGAACTACCAAAATGTACAGGCTTTTTAAGTCCACACACCCCATTCATCACAGCTTACTGTCACTGCATCCCCTGTGCTATCAGATGCTGGGCCAGTCTGCCTTTTGAAACTGAAGAACATTTATCACCTGGGGTAGACTTCCTTTACCCATGCCAAGGGATCCTGTCTCTTGTTTGATGCCCTTTCTCAGTCTCATCTCTGGCCAGCAAGATCTTTGTCTTTCCCTTGATGTTTTCTGGCCTTTCTGCTCCAGATATCTGCTTCTGCCCATTCCTATTATGCTGAAATCTCCTGTACACTTCATGGTTCTTTCACTTTTTCACAATCTCTTAAATATCTGTTTTAATTTCATGCTATGTTTCACCCCCCCCCCAAAACCCTCCATTACTCCTTCCCTTTCATTGGATGCTGGTTCTGCTGTGTTCTGAGGTCCTTTGTTCCTCCTTTTGTGGCCATCAAGTTAATTCACTTCCCTAGGAGATTTTCATCTGAGCCTGAGCCAGATGCTGCCACTTTCCTGAGGTTTTAGCTGCTATGGAAACAGAAGATGGATCAAGCGGAGAAGAGCAGGGCGATTGGAATCTACCTGCAGATTAGAGTAATTTAGATGAACAGCTTTGTCCAGATCTGGGGCCTAGATTAGCTGTCCCACTTTTAGACTGATGAGATATGCCAAGCTGGAGCTAATCACCTTGAGACTCACTAGGGAACAGTGTTCTTGGTGATGATTCTTTGGAGATCAGAGATGTCATTGAGCTGCTGCCAAATCTGAACTGAAGCTAGAAACCCTTAGCAGTTAGACCTTCATCTGTAGCCACTAAATGTTTCCAAGAAAGTGCTTATTTTAAATAAACTAGGGCAGGCTTGGGGCTCCCGGGAGAATGATGTGCACTTTTGCTGAATCTCCAGAGGCAGTGAGCAGTTGTCATCTTTGTCTCACTCCTGAAGACAGATCATGTCTTAGTCAAGTCATTCGTACATAGACATGAAACTTCCTCCAAAGAATAGCTGATACAGGCACTTGGGGCAGTTTGATGACTTCATTGCATTTCCACCTTCTGGATTTATCTGGATTTATTTATTGCATTGATTTGTGCAATTTTGAAAAAGCCTGGTTTTGTCTAGTAGAAGCCATCAGGTGCAGCTCACGACAGTCCCATAATCTCTTTAGAATGAGTACTTCTTCTAGTCATGGCCACCTTCTATATGGAAAGGCGATATAGAAATGTGGACCCTTCTTTCGGGAAGACTCCAGCATATTGATTTAGGAGTGGGTGTCTGGTGGATAAAAGGGTTAAGAGGCCTGTCCAGGCCATTTGTTAGGTAGAGGGAAATGTCAGATGTCCAGAAGAAGGATGGAGAGGAAGATAAGGCCTCCCTTTGTGCAAAGTCATTTCTCTTGTGCTATTTGTGGTGTCACGCCTTTTCTATTTCCTCCTCGTGGCTTCCTACTCTTAGAATTCAAGAGGAAAGTGAACAGTTTTCCAGATACCTGTCCATTTTCTGCACATTTGTTCTGGATATGCACTTATTGTCTACACTAACATGGGCCCTGGTCCTTTCAGGAAGGAATGTTCCCATTTCATGTCCTCACAAGAAAGAACTTCGCCTTGCTACATGAAAGCTCAAGCCAAAGTCTAGGGTCAGTATGTGTACAGGTACAATCAGAGAAGCTGAGCTGTTTCCTGCTCAGGACTCTGAGCTTCATATGTTCTCTTTATCTAGACATGAAAGAATGTACTTGTCTTACTCTCATAGTTTTCTCTGAGTATGCAGAAATATATTCTCTTTTAATATATCCTGAAAACATCCAAAGTAGGCCCCTACATTGCACAGAAAAGTGCTCCTATGTCCCTGGCACCAGATTCATTGAGGTGTCAGAGTTTTAGAGAGATAGCTGAGATTCCTACCTTGTCACGCTTCTGGTGACCTACTTGAAGATCAGGTAAATGTTTGAATCTAGTCAGGAATCTGGAGACTTTTTACACCTTTGTAACTAAGAACTACTGAGCATTGAATAGAGTCTTCTGTGGGCAGCAATTTTCAGTATCTTTTTTTTTTTCATTAAAATTGTTGGGCCATTACAACCTCTTCTAGGACACCCAAAGAGCACCCCACACCAAGGCAAAGCAAGATGCATTGAGGAACACCATATAACAGATATGTCCCACATCCGGTTCAATTTTAACATCCCTGTTTCAAAAATTCTTTGAGAGCATGGTCTGCTTCTCTTGCTTTCTTTACCTTGTGCACCCGGCCTAGGGCCTAAACACCACTTGGGATATACTGTTGGTATGGTGTACAACACTGTTCTTTGTTACAGCTCCAAAGGGGCATACCACTTCTCTCAGTGCAATGCTTTAGTCTTACTCTTGAGGGTTCTCCTCCACTGTGATGTTTACAGGGAGATCTGGCATGTTTGCCCCAATGAAACCTTCAGCTAGGCTCCAAGACACTTTGCAGTGGAACACTGTAGGCTCTTTCAACCCTTCCTGAATCCACTCCAAGAAAACCTGGTGGAATGGGAGGTTGAAAGGAGGAGCGAGCCTCTTTTCAAGTTCATTTTCTCAGAAGTTAAGAAGCCTCCAATGGCTTTGATATCTGGACTTCTGATGCATCCTGGTCCTTGGTGCCATCAACTGCTGAGATGTGTACTTCTGTAATATGTTCATCTTGATCATCAGGGACAACCTGAGCCTTCTACCATTTACTGCTGTCAACCACCTCATGTGTGGCTCCTAAGCACTGTTTTTTAAAGTAAACTAGAAGATAGCATTTTTCTATGTGAAAATGCTCCAGTCCTCTGCTCTGGGAAAAGCAAAAAGCAGTTAACCGAAAAAAAAGAAAGAAAGAAAGAAAATCATCATTTTAAATGCTTCCATCCATTCTGCCTTTCTCATTCTCTATCTCTGTATACTTGGTGTGTAAATAGAAAGTAGGTAGGAAATTGCATATTTGTCTCAGGGTTATACAAAGATAGGGTAGAAAGACAGGAAAAAGAGTGTCTATTGACTTTCAAAACAAAGCCTCTTAATGCAACATAGGGTGGATATCTGCATCCATGTCCACATAACTTCTATATTCATGT